TCTCTCTCTCTCTCTCTCTCTCTCTCTCTCTCTCTCTCTCTCTCTCTCTCTCTCTCTCTCTCTCTCTTCCTTCTCCTCCCTCTCTCCTCTCTCTCCGCTCTCTCTCTTCTCTCTCCTCTCTCTCTCTCTCTCACTCTTTCTCCCTCTCTCCTTCCATCTCCTCACGACCACACAGGTAGACGGTTGAGAGGGGAGAACAGGTCGTTCACCGGCCGGGCGACACTGATCTCGCAGGAAACCAGCACCGACCTGGTCAATCTGCATACAGCGGCGGCGAGGGAGAGGGCGGAGGCGGAGGGGGGGGGCGGCGTCACCCCGGTGTCAGGGAAGGGGGACGGGGGCCGAGGCGGGGGCGGGGGCGGCCGCGGCGGCGGTCGGGAGTGTTGACACACTCCGGAGCCTGGCTCGGTCTCCCTGTTGACACCGGACGCTCAGCTCCGGCCGAGGGAGGGAGAGAGGCCAACCGGCGACATCCGGTCGACGGCACGGCAGCGGTAAAACGCACACCGGCCGGCCGCTCGGCTCGACAGGTGCGCCGCTCGGCCTGGGAGGGACTTCGGTCCCGACTACCGCCCGGCAGCCAGTCGCAGTAACGCTCTCACTACACCTCAGCCGCTCCTGCACCTCCCCATGTGCGTGCCTGACTTGAGTCAGCATATCACTAATATCACTGTTCCCACTTGACGGCGTGACGATCGAAGTGTGAGACTCCGCTGTCCGTGATTCTGCCGATATCATCCCCACAGTATAAATCGGCTCAGTTTTTGCCACATCCGGCGCACTCCAGCCCCGGCCGGCGCCCCGCTGAGTCACGTGACACGTTCCTGTGACACGGACGGCCCCCACGTGACCGTGCCCTCTAATGACGGGTCCGGTGCTCACCTGCCGGGGTGGCGGCGGTGACTGCTGGCGGGGAGTGAGGGGCTTCCGTGCCGTCCAGCCCCGATCGGCGGCCGTTTTTGCGGACCGGCCAGACGGGATCCGGCGACGACCGGCGTCATTAGGTCGGGTGATAAAGGGGAACAATGAGCGCTCTTCCGCCGGTGCCCGATTGGAGCGGCAGGTGGGAGCCGCGCCGAGACGCCGCCGAGACGAGACCGGCGGACGTGGGGGACGGCGGCGGGGGGTGGACGGCTCCCGTATGGACGGACTGTGGCATGTGGACAGATTCAGACTGCTGCCGTGGACAACTTGTGGAGAGACTGATGAGTTCAGTCATCAGCAGGATCTTCGCTTTGAACAGGCGGTGAAAAACAGGTGGTGTTGACTGTTGGCAAAGGACGCAGCGGCGGCGGTGGGCAGCGGGCAGCGGTGGGTGGCTGGAGCACGTCGTCAGCGAGCCTGGGGTGTCCCAAGCGACGGTCCCAAGGCGAGAGACCACTCAGCAAGGAGCGACTACAGAGGAGCCGCTGGTCCCCGGAGACCAAACAGGTCAGCGGCGGCGTGAGACGGACGGAATAAAGAGCTAAGTACGACGGGAATGGAGACTTTCTCGCGAACGCGAGTTATATAAGAAGTAGAAACCTCGCGTAGGATTCCCTAAAAATGGATTGGCTACACTGTACCTACACATGTCGGTCATGAAAGTACTTACACAATACACAGCCTCACGCTAGGCACGAAACAAACATCCATTCCCTTTAACGATTCGGTTCGTGTTTTCGAAATAGTAAACCGTCTGTCGCCGAGCATGTAGACCGGTCGACTCCGTTTCGCGAGTGGGTTCCTGTCTGAATGTGGGTGATGAGATTATCCAGACGTCCCAGCTGATTAGCATTTAGCACACACACTATCATCCAAGTGCAGAACGTTCCTGACCGCAGCGGCTCCAGATATTTGGCACTGGTGGCGACACGTCGATTTAGCAAATCAAGTGGACAAGCTGGACCGCACAGAACGCACGTAGGCGTATAGTGATACGTTTAAAACACAGAGCGACTTCGAACCATTTCAGTGCACTTATGGTAAACATACGTCAGCCACGTAAAAACTTAGAACGTCACCAAGACTGAACGTTCGACGGTTCTGAAGATAGATCGGTGATTATTTTGAGCAAACCTGAGACGACACTGTGTCACTTTAACCTCGCACTATCATAACCATTATCTGCTTACATCTACAAAACTCAGCACGTCCTTGTTCCAAAACACGACCTACGGACATCTGGGAGCAAAGGCGGTCTGATTTCTCCGAGATCTCGCGCGCAATCAAATCCAGCGTGACGGTTGATAACGATCTGTCACACTTTGGACAGGGTCCGCGGGTCGTGATGGGGCGCTCGTACGGGAAGGTCGCTGGGGAAGAGGGTGTTTGCAACACTCGGAACTAACCGACGGCCGATGGGACATCACCTCGAGAGGGTCGGAGTGGTGTTTACATAGGCTGCGTCATGGGCTGTCCCATGCTTGAGCGGTGTTTAAGCCATGGGGTATATGAGGGTATATACATATGAGCTAATATACTATATAGCTCATACCCTGGATACCCTGGATACTATATATGAGTATACAGAGTATAGTTATATGAGCTAATGTGTGAGCAAGTATCTGAGTCGGCGAGCGTGAGCCAGAGCCTGTGTCTGAGCCAGCGTCTGTCCCAGTCACGGATGTCGAGGGATTCTCTGCCGTAAACCGACACAGACGGCTCACGACGGCCACCGCCGAGGACTGCCAACGCCTGACCGAGCGATAACCAGCTCCTGACTGTCATATCCGCTGCCAAACACGACCCGCCGTCGAAACGGGGATTGGCGATCACGAGCCCCGAGCCTCGAGAGAGCTTAGACGCCCGAACTGGACCTGAGTGACCGTCAAGTCCCGATCTAGCAGATCGCAGAGTCCAAGATCAGACGGGTCCATGGGCGGGCCTCAAGTGCGTTCTCAAAACACCTTGACGTGTCAATATATGACAGAGGAAACCGCTCAGTCACCGCGCCGCCCACCCGCGGCGCCGTCGGCGGATCCGACACCTTGAGACCGTGACCTGCCTGCAGACGAGTCCCCTGCCCCATTCGCTTATCATCCGCCGCAACAGCTACTGTTTGACCATAACGGCTACCGTTTGTCCATAATGGGATGCGATGATGCCGTTCAAGGAAATCAACGGATCTGCTGCTGTATTCAACAAAGGTGTTACCAATACCGGGCCTTCGCAAATGATAATGCGATGCGTCTGGACTCAGGAATAAGCACCTGTGTATTAGCAAAAGGATGATCGTGGTACTCAGCATTCAGCAAGGTTTGAGGGAAGGATGAGTCGGCTGAAGTTATGTAGTCTTCAAAGAACTTCATAACAAAAGTGTTTGGATATTCATATGTAGTACGCCCACCGATTGAAAACATTTCTGCACCTGCTCATAGTGCATGTCAGCATTGAACAATGAGCATATCAAGAATTTACTTCAATTCATGTGCAATGTTTGTTTAAGCGCATCATGCGCCAACAAATCATGAACGGCTCACATTTCGCGATGAACTTTGAGAAGCATCCCTCGCACACCATTTCAGCCAATGTCACTCCCATTGTGATCGCTATCTGCGTTGTCTCCTCCCCGGTGTTCGGTGACACGAGCAGACAACAAAGACCGCTCCGTGTCACCGGAGCTCGGCAGTTTGACCGGGCGGGGAGGGAGGGGAGGGGAGGGGAGGGGATGGGGAACTGTTGCACCAACTCGGGGATGTGGCCAATTATTGGAGCCAAGGTCAGATCGAGGGCGCGCCGGCAGCAGAGCATGTACATACGCCGCCGTGCGCACGGCCGTGGTGTGACGGCAGACGACTCTCTCTCTCTCTCTCTCTCTCTCTCTCTCTCTCTCTCTCTCTCTCTCTCTCTCTCTCTCTCTCTCTCTCTCTCTCTCCCTCTCTCCCTCTCTCTCTCTCTCTCTCTCTCTCTCTCTCTCTCTCTCTCACCGGTGCTGATCAACACGCCATCGTTACGTCACGTTACGTTGTCTTGGTGTGCGATGTTGACAGCTTAATTTGTGGTGTCATGTTACAGCGATGTCGAGGTTTTCGGTAACACCAATGTCAACCTCGCGAGGTGGTTAGAATCGAAGGCATACCTGTCAACATTTACATGATAGACGTCCGATCCTCTTTCATGTAGAAGACATGGATATGTACATAGTGCCAAACATCGTCCATTGTCAAACTGACAGGCTCTTTTCACACTGTCGTCATGCAAATCTCGTGTAATCTAAAGCAGGTGACATTCGATCGAATGTTTTGCACGGAGACGATACAATGGTCAGAAGTTTGGTCTCGTTTGCAGTTGTTTGACATTGTTCGTCGCTGAATGCGGCGAGACACCGCGGCGATCACTCAGACCAAGACACCTTGCCCGTTGTTTCTGGAAGTCGGGGACGGTAGCCGTTCATGTGACGGTAAATGTGACGGAGTACGTCACCGTGACGGCGCGCCTAGGCTCCATCGCCAGCCACCGTGCACAGTGGGTGCACGCTGCACAGTGCACACTATTATACGGTGCACAGCGCGCGTCCGATGCGCTTTGATTCACACCCAAACGAGGAAAGTGAAATGCGAGCGGCAGGCTGCTCAACAGGAGATCAGGAGAGTTCGACAGCTCGCATGAGAAACTGGAAACGGGCCGAGCAGTAGGTATACGAAAGGTTTGCGCAAGAGCATGGCCAAAAAGTGCGTAAGAAGATGAGAGAAGTTACGTTTAGGTACTGTTCAAAGGGATGACTTAATTTTCATTTTGTCACTTAATTGAAGACATTTCTCATGATTTTTTATTGGTAGGTATGCATTTATCGCAAGCCGTCATGCATGTCGATGGGCGGCAGTAAAAACGTTTCGGTCTCACACCTTCAATATAACTGCAGTGTGGCAGATTCGGAGCAAATGGAGTAATGGAGTATTATGTATGTAGAAGGCACGTAATTCTAATGACATGACATTGCCTCTTGTCCTATCAATTCCACGAACTATGGCTAAGCCTAAGCCCAGATCAGCATCACTCAGGCGCTAACTTCCGCTTACCTTCACGCAGAGCTGCTCGCATTTTTCCTCATTTTGCGCCGACACCTCCGGGAGAGAAACGGTGACTCGACAAAGCGCCAGCACCAGCGCACAGCACATGAGACGGTCGGCCATAGTCTCCAGTTCTCCGTACCGTCTCTGTGAGATCGGTCTGCTCGGCCCGTACCGATCACCTCACACCATGTCTCAGGGGCCTCACTCTCCCACAGTTAACGTCCCTCCCGCGCACTGTCCTGCCGATCACTGCCGGCGCGCGGCACAACCCGCGCGCTGCTGCCGCCGACACGGGGGAGGGGGAGGGGGAGGGCGCGCGCCCGGCGGAGAGCGCTGATTGGCTCCCGGCCGACTCGCTCCCACGGCCGGCGGGGGCGCTCGCCGGCCGCCCCATCGCGATCGGGATGTCTGCCTGACTGGGTGCTACCTGAGGATTTACGAGGTGCGCGGCAGAATAGCGACATTACCGTTGTCAAATGATGACAGTCAGAACATCCGTTCTGTATGACCTGGGGGTGAACGATGTAGCTGTCGTGTCCATGCACTTCATCCGTTTGGGAAGTTCGAAGATTAAATTGGAAATGTTGCAGCGACCAGCGATATCTTACAGCATTGCTTCTTTTTTAAAGAAATCACTGACAAAACCCTTCTACGGAAGGCATAGCCACACTTGTGCAGACCAGCCCATTTGATTTCGGTTGCTGTTTGCTATTTGAACTTTTGGTGACCTAAACTGATGCTGTAGAACATGCACCATAAGATTCATTTTAACAAATTGCATGAGATGACGTGATACAAACTTTTCAGAATTTCGCAATAAAAGTTGCGGAAAAAATGTTAGGTATATGCTGCAGGCTTGATGGAAGTGTAGGAGCACAGGAATTTTCGCTGACCGCCAGAGTATGTAAAACATAGACTTCGATTCAAGCCGAATAAGGCCAATTGTAGAAATTATCATTAATTTAGGTAGCTGCTTTTGTTTGTGTAACCTCGCTGCAATCGCATCATTATCATATCAAAGGAGGAGATACGAGAGCGGAAAGCCTTTCCCTTTCCGGGATCACCTGCTATTTATCTCACAGTTTTAGCTCACACCTAGCAGACAGCTACACCTATATCTCACCACAATTTATGTCTGTTTGACTGTGACTCAGTAAGACAACTGAGTTGCGGTTGCACAGCAAGTACGGCCATCAGTTGTGACTTGTGACCCCGAGCGAGCCCGAAGGACCGGCTGAGCAGTTTGTCTGCTTGAGGCGTGAAAAAAAATCGATGTATGTCGACTTCTTCAGCTGAAGAGCTTTCTTATACCTACACGTTGAAAAGCTGCAAAAACACATGCATCAAAACATATTCATTATTCATGCCGTTTTAAGGTAGTAGACATTGACCTCACCTCTAAAATGTAAGTTTTTTCGATATCAACGATCTATCCTCGGCGGAGCGAGTTGTTGGTTATTTTTCCAGCGGAGCGGTTGCGCTGCAGGCGAGCAGCAGTGTAGGGCGCCGCTGTCCGGAGCCAGTTACCGAGCTGATGAGCTGAACGAAGCCGCTGATCTCGCGTCTATCGGGGTGCCGGCCGAGCGTCGGGTGAGGGGAGGGGGGAGGGAGAGCGACCGTCGGCTCGTGCAGCTCGAGTCGACGGGTCGAGTCTGACGGCGGAGTAGGCCAGACTGCAAAAGAGGACTCTGGCAGACACGTGTGGCGGGATTCGTGAGGCTCAACCAGCAGGCTTTGTCAGACACGTGTGAAAGAACTTTGGATTTCCTAAAAAGACTCCGTCAATCTCTAAGTGTTTGACTCGAGGTCAGGCTTCGATGGTGGACTGGGTCTATCTTTTAGCTAATTTCACATTCTTTTATTATATCATCCTTATGTACACCACCATAGCTTCTAAGTGGCCCAAGTTTCAAGAGACACATCATCTCATCACAAACACTCTGGCGTAACAGAGCCGCTTAGCCAGCTAAGGCTGAGTATTTATCATGTTCTCGCCAGAGCCTTTGACTGAAGTTCTGTTTTGTGTCAGGTTATCATACGGCTTCAATCGATAATGTACAGTGTTCAAAGGTTTTACTGGAATGCAGAAATATTTACGGGTCAGTGGCTGTCGTTTACATGGAAAATGCGCTGCATGTATTCAATATGTGCAGCAGGGATAAATCGATGCAGGCTTGCGATTCAGGCCATATCATAAAGCTAACAAAGCGTCACCAAGCAGCATCAGGAGCACCTACCTATCCTACATTGAGGCCAAAAGGAATGCAAAAATATGTATATAGCAACAAACAAAACGGGATGACGATGAAAATGAGGCCCTATGGCGTGTTCGTGATGTGCCGTCCTATGGATATCCCATGCAAGATACATCTGATTCACGAGTATGGGTAAAAGTATTCACAGGTAAGTATAGTTGCAGTTCTAGATTGAAAATACATTTCATGTCGATTAAGTTTCGCAGCTTTGTAGGTGCATATTTACCTTTTTTAAGGTGTTGTGCAGCTTATGCAATCTATTGCCAATTAAAGTTGTTCACTTTTATCAATAGTAGAGAAGACAACGACAAAGTTCTTTTTTACGCTGCCCGAGGAGTAAATAGTAAGTTACCTATAGGATACGTCTGTCGGTTTGATAGTACTGTGAAGGAAACTAGGAGGGAAAAGGAAATTGCGAAGGAAAAACATTCATTTATTGTTTCGGCTCTCCTCCACCTTTACATATTTTAGATCACAGTCGTATTACTTAATTCTTCATTCATCAATGAACGCGACCCCATGTTATCTTTCGTCGTTTGCGACACTTGAATTTTACTTCCACCGCCCGATAGCATTGTTTACGCGTATGTTCGAATACAATAATAAACACTGTCCACATCAGAAGGCGCCGGCACTGTATCCGCCGTTCTCAGAGGTCAAACAGCGCTGGTGGAGGCGGCCGGCGGTATCGCACCAGCTGCCTGATTGGCCGAGCACACCTATACAGCTCACCGGCGGAAACCTGGCGGCGACTGCAACGGCGCAAAGGCGCTAGCACCGGAACACCTTGGTGACTGCAGCGCCCGGCCAGGAAGCTAACACCGGCGGCGGCGAGCGGAGAAAAACAGGACGAGCTCGCGGGCCCGGCTAACGCCCGCGTGTGTAACGTCCGCTCGCTAACGACAGTCCACCGTCGGTCACAGGTCAGAGGTCACAGAACTTTGCTTATGCATGTTTGGCGAGCGGTGTTATGCTAATCAGAGATTGCGCTGAGAGTAGGTAAAGTGCACGAAGTGAACTCCAACTTCGACGGAAAAGTATGTAAGACATTCAACTCTTGCCACCAAATGGAAAAATGTACTTTACAGATAAAATATTGTAATGTAAGATAAAAAATTTCAACTCATGGGCTGATTACGGTCTTTTCTAAGCTATTGGCACCTTACTGGATCGGATGAGACTGTAAGATTCATTAGAACGGCGAGGCCCACAGCCATACACACATCGACGCCGCAAACGCCCGTACGTACTCGGCGGCGGCATCGTGTGAACCCATGACTCATATGAAACACCCAGTGACACCTAGCGGTCGGCCAGACATTGCACTGACGTGGAAGTGACTACAGGCGGCGGCGCCCCACGAACTGCACCCTTCCCTTTGCTGACAAACCATCACAGAGGGAACATCTTTGTGCTGCCTGCCGACGATTGCAGATTGCCACTAGGCGCAAATAAGGTGGGTCGTATCCTGCATTTCCGCTGCCGCCCTACTGGCCGCCACGACCGACTGGCCCTAGGACAGGGCTGCACGTCGGCCATTATTGTTCAGGCCAGAGCTCTCCAACGGCCGACAGTATCACCGACCGTATACGCAGTTATGCTCGTGCCCCATTTCGGGGAGTTACGATTTATGCTGCCACCAGACTGCTAGCCTCGCATCTTGTTGTGTTCATAGACCTGTCCACGTGCATGACCTAATGTCTCTGTGCACCCAAGGCCAAGCCACCCTGACGCCATCTTGGCGGGAGCGACCAGCAATCGTGTGACCTCTGCCCAGCGATCGCGTGATCGTGACGTCAGCGGTAGGTGTGGACACCTCCAGCGCTGGTGGCGCCGCGGCGGCAGCGACAGCAACTGCTGGTAGCCACGTGGCCGCCAGCGGCGCAGGCGCGGGCGTGTCACGTAACCGTCACTGCGCCGTGAGGCGGCCCGGGTGACTCATCCGCCATGACGTCAGCTGACCGTGACCGTGGCGTAGCGGCCTTTGGCCCGGCGCCCGGACCGCAGGTCCGTAGCTGATCGGGGGTCGTCTTGCACCGGGTCTGCAGCGGGCCATCTGGCTGGAGTCAGGTCACTGCTGGCCGTATGCCACTCTGTGGGTGCTAGAATGACTGCATGCTGCATTGCCGCCACGAGCATGTCAACTGACCGTCACACCTACACCGGACCTCGCGCCTATCTGCCTCTCACCGGTCCGGTGACCGTCGCAGTGTCGCACTCCCACTGAACTCATCTATCCGCTGGCAGTGAGTAAGGTACTGAGAAACTTGTCCATCGACACAGCCTGTTTTAAGTCCTGGCACCGACTGACCGGCGCGACTCACCGGCCGGTTGCGATCGTCCACCGTGTGCCCGAGGCGCCGGACGTGCACAGCGGTCAGCGTCCACGCAGGGACGCGTCAAGGGTGTGCACAGATGTCAGTGCACACAGACAGGCCGCCAGCCGGCACCAAGTCCCTACACTGCCCTTCCCGAAGAAAATGAGCCATTGCGCCGCACCCCAACACACAACTATGTAAAAACAAAATCAGTTTGTTTCCACAATCGGCCCAACCGGCGATCACCAGCTTCGCTAGCACCAGACTCCGCCGGTACGGACGTTAACTGTTTCGCAGCCGTCAGCCCGCCGCTATCGGGGGGCACCGCCACTTCGACACATTCATAGCCTGATGGCGCAGGCGCCTTCGCTAATGGCACCTGCGTGCCCAGTCACAGAAGTTTCCACCGGCAGCCGCCGTGCGGCAGGATCGAGTCCGGTTAAGCAGGTCGGCGGTCGCTGGGAGGCGGAGCTCGACATCCTGAGCAGAGGCGCGTGCAGCTGGGTCGGCGGCGTCGGCTCCTCTGCAGCCGCACTCCTGGTTCGGCCACGGTCTCGGCTAAAACAGCAGTCATCGCAGGAGGTTCTGTAACCGTGTTTCCGTTTAGTCTACTCGTACGTCTCAACTGTACGTCAGTATGCCGTCGCCATATCCTGCCGTCCTCTAGCTCGATCGCGTACG